ACCTAACCACTTGACCATTGTTCGTGAGTTCACCGTGGCGTGCCGTATCAGTGTGTGTGTACCTTGATTTGTTTCAATTCTCTATTGGGTAATCGTGCTTGTGAGATGCAACTAGTGTGAACGCCGTATCTATGTGCTTTGTAATGCACTCACTGACTCCCAACAATCCGAAAGGCGTCTATGTTCCAACCAGCAATGCGAATATATCATCTTAGGTTTGTGTTCCCAGCTGATAGGGTGCAGGGCGTGTCGCCTTCCAGGGACACCGTCGCGTAAATGAGAAGCTGTACATACGGTACAAATGGTATCTGTATTGTCACTCGTTCTTAATGCTTCAGTGTGCACCTCTAGTCTTTTCACCGGCAATAGCTACCTGCAAACTATCAGGGCGATGGCGATGATCTTATTTAGTAACGGATGGACACTGCTACCGGCTCGTGATAGAAAATCCATGCAACTACAGGGGATATGTAAACCGGACTAGAGCAGAAATCTCCGAATCCCAATTATCAGGGCTACTGGTGCGATGAAACGCAGACTTGGGTTCAAGCAGATGGCTTGAGACCAGTGAATAAAAAGAATTCGCGCTGGCAGGTCAGAAAAGAAACGCTTTGAGGTAAATTGTTTCCGACTGCTACCATTGGTCGTCTCGAATGGCAGATGGACATTTGTTCTGATTTATAAACTCCAATTGACTTTTAAAGGTGGCGAGGCCGCTTGAATGTGCGTCTGGTTGCTCGTAATTGGCTTTATCCACGGTTGGCTAAAGTTAATGATCATATGCATCTAGACACTGGGTGAGTTTGTTGCACTCGACTAGCTAGCTAAGCCAAAGTTTGCCTCGACGACTTTTCGGAATGTTGAAGGACTGTTTCCACAACTGCCGGCCAAAGGCTGCGACGGCCGTGAACGGTTTATTTTGACTTACAGGGTGCTGACCATGGCCATACTCGTGCACCGACGGCAGGTAAATCATCGGATGCAATTTTCTAAGCAAAACCTTTCTGTTTCTCTTATTGAATACATAATTGTTCAGTATGGGACAAAAAAATAGAACAGCCTCTGATAATCATATTTAAGAACGAACTACTTAAATACGCACAAGTAGTCAGTTGAAATAAGTTCTCTCACTTTCATACGCGTTTTTTTCGTGAACCATGTTCCTCACTTCTCGTTAGCAAAACTAGCCGTGAAATTCCCAACACAACATCTCATAAATTGTCCATTGTTACTGTAGTTATGTTCATAACTGCAGACCTTATGTAAACAGTCTGGTTTGCTTTATTTTTTGACCGCTGTATCAGACGTGAACGTGTACACGTGACAGACTCAGAGTACATATGAACATTTTATCTGCAAAAAACGTGATGCTAAAATCCGCTGTGCCTCATAAATTTATCGTGCTCACAGGTAGTAGTGAACCTATGATTGCTACCGAGATTGTATATGAAAGTTTTGCATAGCCACATGTGCTTTTGACGAGGGAGTTAGCGAATGCTTATTTTCATACTCCCTCGATTTCTGCATACCTGACGATAATTCACTGCTATCCACACGAGGTTGGAATTACATGAGTACAAACAGTATTCTGCCCGGTGATTTTCACATTTCGTCAGGTATATTTTAAACAGCCGCGGATGAGGTAATCAATGTATTTGATGATGCGTTGGTGTATCAAAACAATGGGGCTGGGTTTGATGCAACGAAGGACTAATATGACAGCCGCCTGCTAAAATTGTTCCTTGTCAATTCGGTTGGTAACTTCTAACACACAACGAATCAAGAAAAAAACCCAGCACATAGTGTCTGTTGACGAAACGGCACCATTACGGTACTGTACGATTACAATGATATAAAGCAATGAAAAGCGCCAAACCGTGGCACTATTCGGTTCATCAAACGCTGGAATCTGTGAAGCCATTAGTTAAACTAGGAAGGACTGTGAGCAAACAGATGCACAGTGCGGTGACGATGGAATGAATAAACCGACTAGTGTCAAACAGGAATGCATACGTTTGTGAAAGTCCATAAACGGAAGTAGTCTAGGATGAATCAGTCAAAATAGGGCGGGTATGAACGTTAGTCATTATGCGGCGATAACGTGAAGCGATAGCCCGAGCAAGCTTGTATGTGTGTGTGCAGACCGGTGATATGGTCATCAATCATGGGCACAGATCGATCAGACCGGTTAGAACGACATCACCGAGGGCAGCGTGGTAGAGCAGTGATGCTAAGGTGAGGGCTAGCGTGCGTATGTTCAGTTTGCAGTTTGCACCCACGCACTTCGTCGAGTCGGTTTTATTTGCTGTTTCTTTGCTGCCCATTTGGATGGGTGAGGTATGGTAAAGACACGAAGGTTGAGTCTATGGGAAAATGGAGAATTTCAGTGGACTAAAATTGCAAAGAAATTGAGAAGTTGCACAAACGCCATTGTTTACAGCACTCAGTCATACAAATCGGTGTCACTCATCATTGTTCCCGAGATCCCCAGCCATCCACCTCCGTGGACGAGTCTCATGATTAGGGATTTAAGCACTCGTGCCAGATCATATTTTGACCATCCTTGGCTTTCTTCCACCCAAAAACTACCTGAATGTCAAAGTCAAAGTTTTATTATCGAAAATACTTACAAGCCGTCGCTTTTCTTGTCCCATAGGGTTTAGAAAATTGGGATCGGCAAATATCACGAGTGGTGGCAATCTATTTCATGAGATGCATAACACATGCCCTAAACAACGTAATCTGTTGAGTTCGACCATTTACTCCAGTGGGCGACCGCATTTACGTAAAACTCCGCGCCTAACCTCAGCACTGATTATTTGGTTAAACCTCCAGATTCGTGCGATGTTCCATAGACTGTCGGTGTTCAAACACCGACAGTCTATCTTTATCCTGTTTTCCTTATGGTCAAGATTCTTCTCCATACAGAAGAACTAACCAAACTACCGCAGCATACAGTCAACTCTTCACGGAGAGCCGGATGTCACAACAGCGTCACAAATGTCTGCAGTTGGAAAATGCTAGCAGGTCTTCTATATACGTGCAGATACTTCATCCGTGATATGTATGCCAGGTGCGATGAAGTTTATCAAGTAGAAAAACGTGTTCCTTTGCTCTAGGGCGTCCACAGTTAGCGTGAGGCGGAGTGCTGAACTAACCTGCTCTTTTAGTAACATTTTACACTTTGAAGGTGCAAAACGCACACACAGAGCTTGGCTAGGCTGGCACTCAAGCTATCCAGAAAAGCTTGCAACACCTGCATCTCCTTTTAACAGCACAATATCTTCTGCATATTCCATATCAAACAGGCTATCACCCAGGAGCAAGTCGATGCTGCTATCTTCGGAAGATTATAAGGCTATTTCCATAATNAATCTATAACAAATTTAAATGTAAACAGAGAGACAGGGCGACCCTGACGAACACCACTATCCGTGGAGAAGGCTGGCAAAATGTTTTATAAGGTTGGTATAAAAGGATCCTGATATTGAAATAACTCTCTCGGACAGACCTCTCAGGGAAGGAAAGCGCCGGTGTTTAGAGCGGTCGACTGAATCGAAAGCTGTTTTCAAATCGAATTAGGCAGAGATCGTTGGTCTCTGAAAACAATGTCGATGTTCGAGAACTTGACGAGGAGTGAAGATGTGGTCGATACCACCTCGACCGAGTATAAAACCAACCTGGTTCTTACGCGTGCACCGTTCACTTGCGCTGGACCATCGACGGAGTATGGTGCAAACGAGACGTTTAGGATCGATGTTGCTCATACTAATTTCTCTGTGGTATTCACAGGATCCGTCCACTTTCTTGTAAATCGGTATGATCACCGATATACCTCATTCAGTGGGACGTGTTTGCTCTCCACATTCCGACCACAGGAGTTTCATCAACTCCAAGATTAACGCTGCTGGGAACAGCTCATCCACACTTTGATTCCACTGACTAATCAGACTGCACCACGTGTCTGTTTGTTACCGATTAGCTTCTTGCTGATGAAATCCTTTCATTGTGGGTTATTCTACTTGAAATACAGCGATTCCATTTTGTACTTAATTGAAGGTCTATACCAATTTGGTTGTCTGTCGTACGTGAAAATTGGTGTTTGCCCTCGTTCTTCTTTTTTGATTCAGCTCTGTGATAGCCAGAAGTAATTCTGTGACTAGTGGTTACGTGATAAGAGTCACCAAAAACAATATGGAGACTGCCGTCTATCAGGAAAACCTGATGACAACAGCCAAAACCGCCACAGAAACGTGTTGGGTTAATGGGGGTTACGAAAACCAAGACCGAGTCAGTTTCCATGGGGCCTATTACAGTCCCTCTGATTCAAACAGGTATCATATGTAAAGAATGAGTGTTAACCACTTCGGGTGGAGAATCACTCAATCAACGATATTCTGATGTTTTATTATACAAAATTTTTGAACCTCCGTGATTGCTTTCAAACACTGCTCATTTGATCTTACTCCCAAGTCTCGGTACCGGAAAACTTCGGTAGCTATTCTCCGTTATGTCCAAAAGAACTCGTAATATGCACGGAAGTAAGTTTATTGAGTAGGCACCAAATGGAAGCGCCGTAATTTACGTATAACAATAACCAAAGAAGATCATTAGCCGGTAGTAGTTGTACAATTAATTCATCAGCAGACAGCCAATCAATGACAAACAGACACGTGGTGCAGTCTGATTGGTCAATGGAATCAAAGTCCCATGTGAGGAACGTCCGTGTGATATGCATTGTATGTTTTCATGCCTGTCTGTGGATAGGTGTGTGTATATCGAGCATTGATATTGGACGTTCAATAGGAGCAACGTACGGAAGAGTATACAAGGGTATATATTTAAACATTTCACACCCGTCTGATCGACAACTTAGTAGAATGTCTAGAAATGCAAGCTGCCGATTCTCTTCGTTCTCTAGAGTAAACGTAATGTTTGGATGAGCTGAATTCAATACTTTCAAGAGTCTTTACAGATACAAACTGTCATTGACAAAGCACAAATTGTCATCCACATAGCGCTTGTAAAATGTGCTACGATCGATTGTCAGTTTTAGGATGTTATTCTCCAGCTATGCCATGAAGATATTTGCGAACAGTGGAACCAGAAGAGATTCCATTGCTTCTCTATTTATTTGGCGAAGAGCTTCGTCATTGAATTTGAGTTGTATGTTGTGTGTGTGCAAAAGTATAGTAATTGTTTGAGATCATCAACTGGTATTCCAGTTTCATAATTATTCCTTCTTATGTGGTCAAATATGTATTCAATAGTTTCAGCCAGGGGGACGTTTGTGAAGAGTAAACTGAAGTCGAGTGATATCACGCGTATTCCGTTAATGTTCGTGTCTTTAGTCACAGCCACCAAGTTGTACAGTACAATTAATAGCAGACTGCACAGATGATGAGTGGATACCCATATCGGTAAGGTAATCAGACTTTAGAAAAAAGTGATTTGATTTTTACGGTTACTATACTTGTTGTTTGTGGGTGGGTGTTTATCTGTGTCAAACGGGCGACCTGGGGGGGGATGGTTGTGAAACGGCTAGTG